CTCTCTCTCTCTCTCTCTCTCTCTCTCTCTCTCTCTCTCTCTCTCTCTCTCTCTCTCTCTCTCTCTCTGTGTTTTAGACCATCAGAAGCTGGAGCGCGAGGCCCGCATCTGCCGCCTGCTGAAGCATCCCAACATCGGTGAGGCCTGTGGGTGCAGAGGGTGTCAAGGCAGGGCCTTTGCCCTGAGGGTCCTGGTGTGGGTTGGGGGTGGGGGAAAACAGTTGCTCTCTGGGGTGGGAGGCTGCAGAGATGAGGGGGCGACCCTTATGGTCTCCACATTCTCAGACAGCAGCTTGCTTCAGGGGAAGCTGAATAGGGGCTCTTCTTCCCAGCCTACACTGCAGACAGCTTCCTTCTGAAAAGCTAGTTCAGGAAAGCTCCTGGAACTCAGAGGGAGATGAAAATAGGCCAGAAGGAAAGCTTGGCCTTGACCTGCGTGACCGCACCAGACCTGCTCTGTGTTGAGCCAGCCAGGATTAAGATGCAATTCAGCCCTGCCCAGGGTTTAGACCGATTGTAGGCTGCCTGGACAGGTGGAGCCCAGGGTGGGAGGGGACAGAGCCAGGACTGCAGTGCCCATGCACGTAGGCTCAGGAAACACACTTCCCTGCTGGACCGTCTCTCCTGGCTCCTGTGTGGCCGGGGCAGGGGGATTCTTGCCAATCGGGGCTCTGAATCAGGAAGGAAGGAGTTTTTAGATCTAGGTCTACAGGGAATGGCTGTGTGACCTGGGCAGGTGCACTCGCTTCTCTGAGCCACTTTCCCCCATCCTCACTTGGAGGAGTGCTTGTCTTCTTCCAATCAGTTGGATATATCATAAAAAAGGCAGCCTCTGTTTCAGCTGGCCTGGGATGGAAACTGAGTAATTACAGTTGTCCTGGCTTCAAGGTGAGGCCAAGGCTTCTGACTGGCAGAACGAGGAGGCCTCTGACAGCTGCCACGCCTTCTCCCCAGGGTAAAGAGCTTCTCTCCAGGCCCAGGACCCCAAGGGTTAACTCTCCTGCAGGAAGAAGCAGCTCCATCTGCTATTTATACCCACAAAAAGCCCCTGCCTCCCTGCTCAGCAGCAGTTGAAGGAGCAGGAGTGAGGACAGGAGAGGAGAGAGGAGGAGAGGAGAGGAGAAGAGTGGTGGGCCGACCAGGGCAGAGGAGGGCCAAAGAGGCAGCAAGCTAGTGCAGGAGGAGCTGGCTGGCCCCTGCCCTGACTGGCTAGCCTCCTTTCTCATCACCAGCCCCACTCCCACCAGGAAGCAGGGGCTGGGGCATCTCTGACTGTAAACCTCTTGGTTCTCCTACAGGCAATCAATTGGGAGGAAGGAGATGGGACGAGAGAGAGAGAGAGAGAGAGAGAGAGAGAGAGAGAGAGAGAGAGAGAGAGAGTGACACCGAGATCGCAGCCATCCCAGGTCAATGCTGCCTCTTCT